ACTGCCCCTCTTTTCTACATCCTCTCGTTTACCCTGGCCCTTCCCGAGCCCTGTAAATGTGTACGTAGCGTCCCACTGTGTGTCCACGTGCCTCTGCCACGTACGATCTCCTGGCCAGATCTCCCGGCACACTTACCCACAAGGATCAGGCTCNACCATGGCTGGGTGACATCTGCACGGTTAGCTGTCCATGCACTTTGTGGTCCCTTTGCTGAGGGCAGAGGGTCCTGGAGGTGGGAGGGGGCAAGATCTGCTATCAGGAGTTACTGTAATAACAAGAACTGGAAGTTTGTGTTTCAGATACTGGATAAAATGATTCTACCTCTGGGGATGAGGATTAAGAAACACTCTAGGGAGACAGGCTCTTTCACCGCACCCTATTCCACCCAGGAGTGGGAGCAAAATGATGGTCTTTTCCAGGAGTGAGAATGCCCAACAGCTGTGTCCTTGTCAACCTCTTTGACCCCTTTCAAGCCTAGGTGCTCTAGCACAGAGAGAAGGAAGGGGCCCTCCCCGGCTGGCAGCCCCTCTGATGTTGGTGCAGCGTGTCCAAAGGACTTGGGCTTGCTGAGGACCTAGCGCAGGGCACCCTTCCTTCTGAGAGTTCTCTGTACACTTCCCCATCCCGGCTTACCTACCTCTCCCATTCTGTTTTTTATTTTTAAGACAATGAAAAAATAAGCAGCAGTGACTTGGGTGTAAAGGGAAGGGGAAGGGAAGGGAACTGGGGGACGTGGTGGGGTCTAAGGCACATGTTGGCATCAGGCAACCAAAGGCAGGGTTTTCGGGGAGCAGCACGCTCACACCCCGTCCGTTTCCTTCCCTTGGCTACATTTGAAAAGAGAAGCAAGGATGGACTGCCTCCCAGCTTCTGCGGGCTGCAGTGGGCCTTGCTCGCCAGCACCGGTTCTCCACGCAGCTTGGTGACGGCAGGCCTCCGGTTTGGGTGTTCAGACCCGGAGCTCTGGGCTTGGCTCTGCCTGGCTGGGTAGCGAGGCCCGGCCCCTGCAGTCCAACTCTTAGAAACACACCTGTGTTCAGTTCTCAGCCAGGAGGCGCAAAGGCTGTGCCGGTGCGAGACACAGTTGGGGAAGTTACAGAGAAACCTTAGTCTTCCGTCCTCATGATACATGTGGGAATTCACACTCTGGATTTTTTTAACACGCTCTTCTGTTCCAGGCGGCCAGGAGTAGACATGGTACTTTTTGAGTTTTCCAGTGTGTCTCAGTTTACATGGCTTGTGATTCGCTTCCTAAATCCAAATATATATAAACATGTGCAGTCTTATTTTCGCCCCCCTGCAGTTTGTTTTCTTCAGTAATTCTAGTGTAAAAGGGAAAGAAAGCGTGGGTATGTTGGGGAAGGCGTGGAGGGGTGCACACAGAGAAGAGACGGGGGTAGAGGGTAAGGAGGAGGGGCCTGGGGACTCAAACGTGTCCCTGTTCACAAAGGCAGGACAGTGGCCAGGACCGACTTCATTCCATTCATCTTTTGCTCTTATTGGATTTTGTGATTTTTTTTTTAAACGTATGTGTGGGATTTGTTTCATGGTGCACATAATGAGGCTGCATTGGTCCAATCCAGGACTTTGAGGCCACCCCAGGAAGACTAGGGCAAGGGTCTGTCTTCTGGGAGTCTCTCAACCCCTTAGGACTCCAGTCCCCTTGGGCTCCCCCCCTCCCCGAGGATCTGAGAAGTGGCAATGGAAAGAAGGCGTAAGGAGTGGGTCTCTTGAGAATTGGCGAATAGGAAGGAGTGGCCACGAATTAAAGGAAAGGAGAGGATACTTGACACGGCTTTGGTCTGGATTTTATATGGAAAGGAGCCCTGCAGAGAAGCCAGCCAGATCATAGTCAGCCCTGGTCTGTTGGGGGCTTGCCTTTTATATGTAAAACTTTATATGCTCTTTAGCTGCATAAATGTGGAATTCCAGAGAAGGCTGCGGAGGCCTGAGTTACATATATAGGGTCACTCTGTGGGAAGGAATTTCTGCCATGGGTGAAAGGGGTGGAAAAAGCTGTCAGCCTGCAGCGTTCTGCCGCCTCCTGCCTGAAGGGGGCGCCACAGGAACGACTCCCAGAGGAAGCGCTGAGCCTGAAGGGCCCCTCTGGACCTGGTGCAGCGCTTGGGGTCTCTGGAAGAGGGCCGACTTTAAAATGAGTCTGAATTGCATGTAACACACACCTCAAATTAAATTCAACCTCCTGGCTTCAGTCAGAATACATGGTATAAAACCTAGTCTGTCAAATTGACTTTTTAGGATCTGGTAGCTTTTTAAAAATGCTCTACTGTTCTTGAAAACTATCCTGAGGAAAGCAGATGCCTCAGGGTCCCAGCCCTTCAGTCCCTGGGCAGGTTCCAAACCTGTGGGCACAATAGGTACAGGTGGGACNGTGAGAGACAGACAGGACGCTTTGTCAAGTGTGCCAGTCCAGGCAGATGTGGACTCTGCTCAGCCAGAGGGTAGACATATGTCTGAGGAGGTGATGGTCTTGTTAGGAGGGAGGGACCCTGTGGGGGCCTCTGATCCTTTCTACCGTTCACCCGTGGCCAAGAGAAGCCATGCTGAGTCCACTGTTTCCACCCTGCTCAGGGCCTTGGGCCACCTGCCGGGAGTTGGGTTATGTCGCTGTGGGACGTCAGGTGAGAGGAGGCCATTGGTCCCACCTGCATACCATGAGTCTCAGGGCAAAGTGCCTAGCAGAAACTCAGCCTCTGTGTCTTGGTGTCCAGTGAGGCAAACGTGAGTGGCCTAGAGGCCAAGCTGGACACTTAGCACGGAGGCTGGTCTCCACTTGGCACCCTGCCTGCCTTCTGGGAGCAAGGCAGGCAGCAGCCTCCTCGGGACCCCTGCTGACATGGTGCCGTGGGGAGAGTGTGGGCGGTGGTGAGTCATTGCCCAGTCCCAGTCCTGCCTGGCGCTAACTCCCACGTGGCCCCAGACAAATCACCTCACTTATACAGAGAGGAGAAGGAAACCCAACTCACAAGACAGTGAAGACCAGAGAAAACGCCCATTTGCGAAGTGGCCAAGCGCTCCTGTAAACCACAAAGCAGGGATTCCTAGCAGTGCTGACCTGCCCCTGCCTGTGGGCCTGGGAAGAGGAAAAGCTTGCGGGCAAAGCAATAGAGCATGTGCGTTGCCCACCTCTCCTCGGAGGGCTGTCTCTCTCCTGCCTGCTTTCTCTTTGGGTTACCCACAAAGGGTTTCCTGCTGCGGGTGGGAGGTGGTCAGCATGTGGCAGCTGCAGCACTAAGTGGGGTGCATAGGCTTCATAATTAGTAATATGCCCCTATAATGTGTGTTTTCCTCAGTGTCACCATGAGGTTTGAAAATCCACGAAGGGTGGGCTGCATCAGTGATAAAGGGAGCCGCACATGTCGCGGCCAGGGGTAGGTGAGGACTTCACAGGACACCTGGCAGGCGACTCGCTGAGCCTTGACGTCCTCATTAGTAAAATGGGGATAAGAATCGCTGCCCTCAAGAGTTGTCACGAAGCCCAAATGGGATAATATATCAACTCTCAGTGCGGCCTCTGAAACTTGGTGGCTCTTGGTGAATGTCGGTTTCCCTTTGGGATACAGCTTTGGGCGTGCAGATGAAGCACCGTCTTAGGGTACCAGATCTGATAAGGTGGGGAGCCATGTGGGATTGGATTAGTGACATCTAGGTGGAAAGGGCTACGTGAACACGAGGGGTGATTTTAATTACACAGCCCCTCGGTCTCCACCGTCAGGGAGGCCTGGCAGCCTGATGCCGACTTTATTGATCCATCTGGTACTCAGCTGGAGTCGTGACGCCGGCAGGGGCCAAGCTCATTAATCACCGCCTCCTCTTAGCCCAGGATGTCTTGGTGGGGACAGACCCCCAGCAGGCCTGCCTGTTCACCCCACTGGCTGCGCACCTCTGGGCGGGCTCCACCAAGCCTGTCACTGGCCTCCTTTCTCAGATGTCCCTGGGCCTGGTCTTGTCTGAGATGCCCGGAGGCTTTTCACAGCCCTTGTTACTGTTACCCTTCTTACAGTTCTGGGGCAGGAGGAAGCACCTTTAGTGGGGCGCCCTGCCAGCCATAGCTGAGGAGCATACCCAGGAACCTTGAGAACAGTTTGACATCTCAGATGGGAGCAGTGCCACCTGGGAGGTACATAACCTCCTCAGAGATGAAGAAGCCCCAAGAAATGGTGTGTAGAAAGCTGTCCCTCAGACTAGGGTAAACCCTGAATAAAGCCAGACCCCTTCTCCCAGGTGATTTTAGCAAAAGGTTCAGGCACATCTTTATCACACACCGACATTGTGCCGGGCAGTGTGCTAGGCACCGGGGACCAGCCCAAAGCTCAAGAATGAAAAGACCTGGCATTCTTGCTCCCCTGCATGGCTGTGGCAGGGCCAAGGCAGACGGTCCTTCCCAGGCTGGCATCACATCCTGTGGCTGGGATTTATTCATTCAGGTCCTGCTGTGACACTGTGATCCTGTAAGATTTCATTGCTATTCCCAGTTTACAGAGATCTGAGGTCCCAAGAGGTTACTGGATGTGTCCAGAGTCGTGGATCCATGCCATGCTGTGCAGAGGTCCCTGTGTCACGTTGCAGCAGACTCTGCTAGGGTAGGGTCGTTGTCCTAGTGGCCATTCCTTATGGCTGTCACCTGAACTCCCATCACCAGGAAGCCTTCTCCAAGTCATTTGGCTTCCTCTGCAGGCTTTTGATGGGGACACTGACAAGCTGCCTGGGTACCCTGAACCATGTGGCTGCCCTGGCTGTGGCCCTTCTCCATGGATGGCTGTCCCTCAGGGGCCAGACTCCTCACTGGGTTCTCATGAGGCGGCCAGTATGAGAGGCCCCCGAGATGAATCTCCTGGCAGGCATTCTCATACTTGAGGTCTCAGGGTCCTTGCATCCCAATTCCTACTATCCCTGCCCACGTCCTTGCCATCTGATGAGGAGTACTGGGCCCCGGGGAGCTAACCTCACTCATTCTGTCCCCCTCTGTCTTTCCCAGGGCAGCAAAGTACCAGGCGCCACCTTTGCTGATGGTGAGCTCCTCCCCAGGGAGCCTGCCTTCTTTCCAGAGGATGAGGAGGAGGCTATGACATTGGCCCCGCCCGAGGGCCCCCCAGAGTCAGACATGGACAGCCCCATGGAGAGCACCCAGAGCCTGGAGGAGACAGTCGGCAGTCCCGCTGATGAGAAGGATGGGGGCCTCAGGGGCCTGTTCCTGCCAGAGGACAAGTGAGTTAAAACTGTCTAGAACTCCGTATGTAGCCCTTGGGCCCAGAGATACAGTTCTTGGAAGGGATCTCCTGGAAGTAGACATGAGATACACTCAGGATTTGTTTGCATCACAGGCATAAGTTTCATGGATGTTCCAAGTAGCAAAAAATTCTAAGCAACCTAAATGCTTAATAGTAGGGTTAGCTCTAGAATTTTAGGCAGCTGTGCAAAATCAAGTTTTAATTGACTATTTAATGACATGAAGTATATGAGCTCAATTAGTTTCTAAAAGGCAGGTTACAAAGATGTCCATTAAGTATGATCTTAGTTTTTGTTTAAAAATACACACACACACACACCCATCCATTAAGAAATACCTAGGAAAAATTATTCTAGCAAATTAGCAGTTCTTTCAGGGTGGTAGGATTATTGATCATTTTAATTACCTCCCATCTACTCTGCTATATAGTGTATATTTTCTTTATTGTTCATAGTGTTCTCATAANCAGGGTCTTTCCTTGGCATCCATAAAAAGAAATAGACACCACTCTTCAGGGCACGTGGGGGTGGAGGATGAGACTCTACCCAGCCACAAATGAGTGCCTCACTGTGTTGGGGTCTCCCAGAAACAGACCCTGAGCCCAGCGTTCCATTTTGAATGGTTCCTGGGAGCACTCCCATAATTGGAGACCAGTCAGGGGTGAAGGAAGTGGGATGGTGGGGGGGGGCAGTGACCAAGTGAGGGAGTGATGGTTGGTGAAGCCCCACCACACTCAGCCCGACCCTGAGGGGCGGGAGACTCTGCAGTATCAGTTACACCTCTGCATTGGCTCCACCGGAGGCAGAAATGCTGGTGGCCACCCTCTCACAACTGTCCTGAAACCCAGCTCTTCTCCTCATCCATGAGGTGGTGCCAAGTTCTTGGGTTTGAGCAGTTAGCCTTTTGGCGAAAGCTAGAGCATGGGGCTGGTAGGTGGGGTCTGGACAGGCCACACAGGCAGCTGTACTCAGGAGCAAGGGTGTTCCTGGAAAGAACTCCCACGGGGCAGGATTCCTGAGCCCGGCTGCAGGAGGCGCCACGGAGATGAGCCGACCTGCCAGCCCCAAGACCCCAGAGCAGCACCTTTCCTCATCAAGGGCCAGGGTTGGAGAAGCCACCGGCTGGGCAGTGTCCCCACACAGGGCCTCAGGAGCTTCTCTTCTGGCTTACCCCAGGGAGGAAGAGGGGTTAGCCAAGAGCTATGCCCCTGACTGGAAACTTGGCTCCCCCCAAGCAGGGCTGTGACCCCGCCTCAGAACCCCATGACCTCCCGGGACTCCGCCCTTCTCCCCCGCAAAGCCTGGCAGAGGCCACCTCATCTACGGGTGTCCTGATGTGACAGACACCTGATGGCAGGGCACTGGTGGGAGCCAGGAGACAGTGGATACAGACGTGTGGGTCCTGGTGGGTCCTGGACGCTGCTGGGAGCTCATGTTGCCTTTGTCCTCACTCTCAGGAGAATCATAAACTGCGGGATCAGAATGACGACCTGAATGGACAGATCTTGAGCCTCAGCCTCTACGAAGCCAAGAACCTCTTTGCCACCCAGACCAAAGCCCAGTCTCTGGCTGCGGAAATCGACACAGCTTCGCGNACTATTTTTATAAATCTTTCAACAGTGATTTGATAGTCCATACTTTAATTTACTAATATGAGTTATAATTTAATAAGTGTAATTTAATGTAGCTGTAGGTAAACCCTTAGGTTGTAACCAGTGTTTGCTGCTTGAGTAGCAGTGGTTTGAATATCTCTCCAGCAGAAACTGTTTCTGTGGTGAGGTGTGTCCCTTAGGGTAAGGTCCCCAAAGTGTATGTACCAGGTCACAAGGTACAAACCTAATCAGACTCCTGATATCCGTATTACCAGTCGACCTCCTGGTAGGGACTGGTCACCTTCCCCAACCTACAGGCTGTAGCCTCTTTAACGGCCAGCCCTTCTCTCTCAGGTCCCTGGTCCACACTCCATCCATGACGGCCTCAGACCTCTCCACACACTCCACCACCTCGCTCATCAGCAACGAGGAGCAGTTTGAAGACTACGGGGAGGGGGACGACGTGGACTGTGCCCCCAGCAGCCCCTGCCCCGATGACGAGACCAGGACCAACGCCTATTCGGACCTGGGGTCTTCAGTGTCTTCCAGGTGGCCCCTTGGTTTGGAATGGCATTTGGAGACCAGGAAAAGTGGCACAGAACCAACCCACGCTCATCCCCGGGCTGGGGGGCGGGTTTGGCAGGCAGAGTGATGAGCTATGTGGATTCTGCTCCTAGAGTTCGGGGGTGCTACCTTTGTGCCCTGATTGGAGTTCTGGAATTCCTCCTTCCTCCTTCCTTCTTGGGGAAGAAATAGAATTAACCAACCTGGGAGGCTGCAGACCCTGGCGGGGTGGGGATCCTTTGTTGTCTTGCTTCCTAGAACCTCATGTTGAAGGGTCCTTCCAGGTGGCCCACTGTGATCCCTTTTGACAGGGCTGAGCCAGTTCTTTCTCTGACATTAGCTCTCAGTTGCCTTTTCTGTGAAACGGCTACAATTCACTGGCTTCTTCCCTTTGAGAGTTTGGAGGAGGGGAGATCTGGTGCTGTATTTCCACTCCCTACTCCCTCACCCCCAACACACACGCACGCACACAAGGTCCCCAGATATTGGGGACTCCAGTAAAAGTACGCTCAGCAGGATGGGATGGGCATCAGACCAGACGGCAGTTAAAAGGGTGATTTCTTCTTTTCTCACGAATCAGTGCGGGACAGACACCTAGGAAAATGCGACACACGTACAGCAGCGAATTGCTGGATGTTTACTGCTCTCAGTGCTGCAAGAAAATCAACCTGCTGAATGACTTGGAAGCCCGGCTGAAAAACCTTAAGGCCAACAGGTGAGGCCCAGGCCCAGCATGGGGGCAGTGGCCAGGGAGGGGGCCGGAGGGGAGAGCAGCAGGCAAGGCGGCCCCAAGCTGTCTTGGCAGGTGAGAGCACTCTGAGGATGAGGTTGATCCTGCCTGCTTTCTTTTGAAACAGGAAAATCAGGGTGCTGCTTCTTAGGACCCAGCTGAGTCATGAATTCCCTTCAGTGGGTGGTAAAAAGGCTTGCCCCGCACTTTGGTATCTTGCAGCTAGGGCAGAGGAAGGCGTGGCCTAGAGTCCTGCCGTTCAATGACTGTTTCCCCCTCTTTCTTTCTCTGTAGCCCCAACCGAAAGATCTCTAGCACGGCCTTCGGACGGTAAGCCCGCCCGCGGGAGTCTGGGTTGAATGCTATCCCCCGTGACTGTGCTCCTGCTGTCAGGGTGGCCAGCTCCATTTCAGCAGCCCAGACCCAGCCGGTGCCCTGCGTGTGGCTGAGTGAGCGGGGGGAACGGGGCGTGCCAGGGCAGTACAGGCAGAACAGCCAGAGGAGACGCATTCTGAAAAAGGACCAGTCTCCCTTCTGTCCCTACTCCTTGTCCCTTCCGGCAACAGTCGGCCTCTCCAAACCCTCAGCTGCCTTGTCCTCAGGCAGGCACACCAGGGAGGCCCTGAGAGACATGGCTCGCCTCACAGCTGTCAGTGCCCTGCTCTGAGCTCTGGAGCTGGCAGCTGTACCAACAGAGACCCTGGGCTTCCTGCTGGCAGAGGTGGGGGCATGGTCAGTCTGCTCCAGGTTAAATTCTGCACAGCTGACTTCCTGCCAGGATCCTGCTCTGGCTCTACAAACTGGCCCCAGGTCCACACCCAGGGCTCTAGGAGCTGCCAGCAAGTGCCCAGGCTCTGACCCAGGACCTGGAGTGAGACAGCCTCTTGGTGAAGACNCCGGGACCCCTCAGCAGGGTAGGAGGAAAGGACCTGGGGTGGTTTGGACACATGCCAACCATACCTGCGTGGCCCACAGGGGCTAGCTCTGGGTCCTGATGGAGAGCCCTAGGGGCCGGGCTGCTGCCTGCTGAGGACACTGTCCCTTCCCTAAAGGCCTCCCCGGAAACAGACACACCCTTTCTGTGGAAACCCCTTCCCCACTCCTCTGATCCTGCCACCCCTGCAGAGCAGGCCTCAGGTCCAGGACCCCGTCCTGGGCGTCCTCTCGCACCCAGAGGAGCACACGGCTGTGGAGACAGGTCTGGACGCAGACCCTGTGGCCTGGGCAAGTGGGCAGCTCTCTGGGCTTGGGGTTCTCAGCACAGAAAGGCCGACTAGCATGAGGTCCCCTGTGGCGTGATGATGTCTTCTTCCACCGACTCACCCCTCCCCGCCCCCAGCTTTCATGGGAAGGACCTCCCTGCCCCCGCATTCCGGGGGCTGCCACAGTCCAGGTTCCCACTACCTGGGGTCAGCCTTGCTTGGGTTTGCCTAGGAACTCGCTGGAATCGTGCCGCTGTAGTAGAATGTGCCCCACCGCCCCCAGGTGGATTCATCTTTAGTTCCTGCACGTTCCCCTAAGATCACCTCCTTCTGGAAAGCACACATGACATGGGGGACTGGGTGGGGGGCCTGGCTGGAGGGTAACTCAGCTCAGGGGGCCTCTGATGTCTGATTGAGCATCTTCCCAGGCCTCCAGGAAACCCTCTGAGGATGACATTTTTATTATGTATGAATTCTTCCTTTCCCTCTGTAACTTTATCTAAAAAACATAAAAAGAAAGAAGCTGGCTCAGACCAGTTTCTCGTGTGACTTTGGGTTCTCCCAGCCAGCGAGCAGCGGCTCAAGGCGGGGGTGGGAGGTTGCCTTCCAGCAGCTGCCCCTGCTTCGCCTCCCTGCCTGGGGTGTTGGCATCGGAGCAGGCCGTCTCCCAACCCCAGCAGCACCCCTTGCAGGCCCAGTGCTGCACCGCGCGCTTTCCCAGAGGACCCAGGGGAGTGGGAGCTAGGCCCGGACCGAGGCCCTCGGGGAGGAGCACAGGCGACGGCCACTGTTGTCCAGGACAAATGCCAGAGCGGTACTGTCCCAGACTAACCGAGGTGTATAGTTCATTTTTTTATAGCTGTCTTTATATTATTTGAATGGAGGGGAAAATGGTTTTGAAGTTATTAAAATTACCACTTGCCTTGGGCAAACAGTTGTGGGTTGGATGAAGAGGTGTTAATGTAGGGAGCACGAATTTTAAGAGAAAAGCCTGGCATGTTGAGAGAGAAGGAGAGAGAGGGAGAGAGGGAGAGATTGGGTGAGGGGCCTGGTGTGGGGGCCTGGCCTCGGGGCTCTGCAGGCCCCTCTNGAGCTGGTTTCACATTAACCTGCTTGCACTGGTCCTGCCAAGCCCTAGAGTATCAAGGTGTCCCCGGGTTAGGTGGCCCAGACCCCCAGATTTCTGCCCTCTCCATGTCTGCCTCTTATTATTGTTACGGGGTTCCAGGTGTCGAAAGGGTTCACAGGTCCCCCAAGAGATGGGTCTGGAGATGAGTCTGCCCTCTGTTGTCCAGACCTTTGGGCCAGGCAGGCTGCTGCACTTCTCCGCACAGGCCTTGTGCCGTGGGCCTGCCAGGGCGGCCAGATGACTCCCTCCTCACTGGATGGACATGGTCTCCTGGGCTCACAGGGAGTCATCTTCCAACACTAGGAGTTGCGTTCTGGACCTTGAGTCCCTCCATCCTTCTCACGTGCCTTTTTCCCTTCCCCCTAGGGTTGCCAGGTTTTGCAAATAAATATACAGGACTCCCAGTTGGATCTGAATTTCAGATAATTTTTTAGTTTTAAGGATGTCCCATGCGATTGTATGTCTGAAATTCAGATTTAACTGGGCATCGTTGTTTTTATCTGGCAACCCTTTCCCGAGCTGCTCTGCTGCCAGTCAGGTGTCTCCAATTCCTGAGTGCTTGTCTTGCACCCCAGTTTCAGAAATAGGTTCCTTCATTTGCCACTACTTCCTTCGAGACGGGTGTTGCCTTCCTCACCCCAGCAACGGCTGGCCTTTCCAGAAGCTGTAGCCCCGTGTGTCCTGCCTTGGGGGTGTGTGTGGAAATCTGGAGCCCTGAAAAGGACAGGGAGGTGAAGTCAGTATAGCCAAGGAAGTAGAGGGGCGCAAAATGGTGTCCTAAGGACTGGATGGGGGGGACAGGGTGTTAATGAAGAGCCCCAGGATTAAACTTCTAATTTGCTGACGTTTCACAAGAATCAAGCCATTAACTGTTTTCTAAGCACTGACTGTATTCACAGAATGATTCCTGGACTTGAAATCAGAGGCTTAGGTTTGGGCCCCCACTCCATGACTTCCTACTGTGTGACCACACAGGGAACTCACCTCTATGAGTTTCAGTGGCCTCGTCTGTGAAGCAAAGGAAAAACCAGTTCCTACCCAGGGAGTTGTGACGAGGAGTAACCGAGTAGCGTGTGTCCAGGCCCCAGATGGGAATCCAGTGAGTGCTTGGAGACTCAGAATCAGATTTCAGGAGGTAAGATTCATCTTCCCCAAAAGACGCTCTATCAAAGCGTCTCCTCTATCGTGTTAGTTTTCTAGGGCGGCCGTAAAAACGTACCACAAAGGGGGTGACTTAAAACCACAGAAATGTATTCTCTCACAGCTCTGGAGGCCAGAAGTTAGAAATCAACATGTCAGCAAGGTTTGCTCTTCCAGGGGGCTCTGAGGGAGAACCTGTTCCAGGCCTCTCTTTTACCATCTGGTGGTTGCCAGCGGTGGTTGGTGTTTCTTAGTTTGTGGCCGCATAAGTCTAATCTCTAATCCCTGCCTTCATCTTCCTTCTGTGTATATGTGTCCAAATTTTGCTCTTCTTATAAGGACACCAGACATTGGAGTAGGGCCCACGCTAATCCAACATGACCTCACCTTAACTTGGTTACATCTGCAAACACCCTGTTTCCAGCTAAGGCTACACTCTCAAGTACTAGGGCTTAGGACTTACACATATCTTCCTGGGGCACAAAATTCTACTCAGTTTACTATTCTGGAGAGAGGTGGGAGCAAGCACTGCTTGTGTCTACAGGTTGTGCCCTCTGCCCAGGTATTTCCACTCACCAGCCTTGGAGACCAGTTTCTGACAGCCAACAATGACAGACGACGTCATCCCTACGCCCCCTAGAGGTCACAGTTCCTGCAAAGTGTTTCATTGTCAGATCCCACCAACTCACCGGGCCCTCAAAATTGGGGCCTTTTAGAGTCATCTGGGACCGGAGCAAAGTCTCCTGAATGGGTCAGCAATATCTGGGCGCGAGATGAGTCACTCAACCGACTTAATCTGCAGAGCTGCACTGTGTGTGCCAAGCTCTGTGCCCAGCACTGGGAATGGGTACAGAAAAGAGCAGAGGCTTCTGTCCTAGGGGTAGGGAGAGACACAGCTGACTCCTGGGTGATGAGAGGCACCATGGGAAAAATCAAGGGGGCTGCGGGAGCTCAGGGCTAGGGGGTTAAGGCCACTTGGGGGGTCAGGGACAGTTTCCCCAAGGAACAGGCGTTTCTGCAGAATCCTGAAGAATTGAAGGATTTAGGAGCCACACGTGTGGGAGGCTTCTAGAAAACACAATCCTTTCAGGCTCCTATGGCTGGGAGGTGAGACTGTTGAGGCAGCGCAGAGCCTGGCAGACTGAGGGTGGATCTCACTCATTCATTAAGCAAATATTTCATCAGCACTAGGTGCTGGGCTTGTGACAGTGAGCAAAGCAGACCCACCCCCCACCCTCATAGCACAGAGAGTTTCTAGAATGCTGGATGGAAGGAAGGTTCTCAGTCCTGGTCACATATTTGAATCACCTGGGAGGAGTTTTAAACCACGTGGATACAGGCATACCTCGGAGATGTTGCAGGTTTGGTTCCAGACTGCTGCAATTAAGCCAGTATCGCAGTAAGGTGAATGGCAATCTTTTTGCTCGTGGAGGGTCTTGCCTTCAATTTGTTAAAAACAACATCTTTGAAGCACAAAAAGCAAAGCGCAATAAAACGAGTTATATCTATATGTATGGTGCCTCAGCCCAGGGGTCTGGATTTGGGTCGCAGGGGTGTGAGTAGACACTGGGTTTTTTGTTTTGTTTTTTCAAAGGCCCCCAGGTGATTCCAGCATGGGGTGATTGAGCCAGGGGTGAGAATCGCTGGTGCATAATCATTCCTGAAACCAATTGAAGAGTCAGGGGAGACTCCACTTGAGGCCTGAAGGAGGAGAAGGAGATGGCCAGGTGACGGGGATTGGGGAGGACATAGGAACAGGAACAGCAGGTGCAAATACCTGAAGAGAACTAGCAGGCGGAGAGCAGGGCCATAGGGACCAGCCAAAGATTTCACACCTGGGAGCCGCCTGCTCAGAGCTGAGTTTCGGAGATCAGCAGCGGGACCAGGTAGGTTGCTGAGAGATGAAGGCACCCTGGACTTGGACTCAGGTAAGGCCTGAGTTACTTTTGTTGTTATTTGGGGTTCTTTTGAGGAGTTGGAATCACTAGATTTTGGATGGTGACTTGGGCAGGGGAGCCAGGCTTCTCACCGCCCTGCTGGGGACGTCTACCTGTCAACCCGCCTCCAGAAAATGACTAAACTACACCCAAGGGTGGAAAAAGCTACTCCTGCAGCTCCTCACTTTCAGGCCCAGGACCCTCAGGGACAACAGACACAGCACCGCTAACCGTTGTTGGATCCAGTGACCCGTGGTCAGTAGGGCAGGGTGCGTGGTGAGGGTTGAGGCAGGTTCCCTTCTGGTCAGTCCATCTGTCTGTCTGCACTCTGATTTTTGAGCCCTAGGCAGGTGGGATTTGGCATCATTCCTCCCCCTCCAACCACCCCCCACCCAACCCCTGTGCCTGATGCAGCGCTCGGCTTGCAGGAGGCTACGATGAGGTAGTTCGTGCTCGTTTACGTGTATTTAGGGCTTGCTGTGTGCCAGGCAGTGTTCTAAGTGCTTGCCATGCATTGCATCATTGACTCCTCACGACAACCATGAGGCGGGTGGCACTAGTATTCCCATTTTACAGATGAGGAGACTGACCCACCCAGGGGCTGGCCACAAGTCACCCAGGATCCCCACTCGCGCGCCTAGGAAGGGGAAGAGGCATCCCAGAGCAGGACACAACTGACTCGCCCAAGGAGTGGGTTGCTGTGGGTGGGGAGCGGTGACTACAGGCTGGGAAGGCTTCAGGGAGAAGGCAGCCATGTGCTGACACCTGGAGCCTGGGTGGGCAATCTGTGAGCAGAGGCGCGTGGCAGGGGGACACTGTGGGAGCGAGAGCGTGGAACTGGGAACTTGTGAACCCTGTTGGCACTGATGAGGAGCAACAGCAGAGGCCCAGAAGGATGGTGGTTCCGGTGCGGGTGAGCCTGGCTGGCCAGGCTGCACCTTAAGGTGGGCTAAGGGGTCAGTAGTGCTTCAAGCCTGTGCGGAAAGTTTGTAGGCTTTAGGGCCCAGGAAGTCCAGAGCCAGCTTCAAGCCAGTCCTGCCTGGAACTAACAAGGTGGCTGGGTTGGGGCTGCAGGAAATTCCTTTCTATCTCCTGCCTTTCCTGGTTTGGCCCTGGCTTTCACTCCAAGCTCTGACTTTGATATGGGGTTCTAATTTGGGCTTCACTAGTGTGGCCTCTGGGTTTAAAAAATAAAATGAAGCCCAAAGCCAGTGAGCAAAGGTGCTGAAGTCTGAGACCACTTTCTACAGCTGTTTGATGGATGGCACTAAGCCCAAGGTTGCCTGTGAGACCCTCATCCCCTGCGTTCGAGCCCAACTCGCCCCCTCTGCCCCTACGTGGCTTTCCCAGCTTATCCAGTCCAGCAGGCTGCCCCAGACCAAAAGCTGGGCTCTGCCGGGCTCTGGCAGCCTCTGGGCCAGGTTCTTAGTTCTTTGGCCTGCAGTGAAAGTGGGACTGTTGTGAACGTCGACGATGGAGCCTGTCAGGGTTAGAAGGAGACTGGGAGAGGCTCTAGTCCAACCTGTCCCACTAGAGAGCCCTCAAGATGAGTCTGTTTTGAGGTGGGGAGGAGACAAAAGGAGACCCACCTCATATCTCTGTGCCTCCTCTGTAGGAGCCAGCCCCAGGGCTGAGCATCAATCAGTGTCTACACTCAAAGTCACAGTCAATGAATGACAGCTGTGGTAGAGAGTCTCCAAAGATAATCACCATTCACTTGTTGCCTCCCTATATGCAGGCCACTCCCCTATTTGAGAGGTGGGCTTCATTTCCCCTCCCCTCAAATTTGGGCTGGGCCTGTGACTATTTTGATCAATAGATTACAAAAGGCATCACTTGTGGCAGAAGTGACATCCTGGGATTTCTGAGCTCTGGCCTCAAGTGGCCTTAAGGAAGTTTCTGCTTCCTTCTTCTTGAAACGCCCCTCCTTAGAGGCCAGCTGCCTAGGAGGAAGCCCCCGCAGCCACATGAAGAATTGAGGTCCCAAGCCAAGAGCCCCAGCTAAGCTCCCAGCCATGTGGACGAGGCCATGTTGGGCCTCCCAGCCATCCCAACACCCTGGCCAACATCAGATGAAGTAAAACTGACTGTTTATTCCAGAGAACGATGAAAAATAATGAGTTTTGTTTTAAGCACCTATGTTTTGAGAGAGTTGGTTACACAGCAATAGATGCATGAAACAGCCGGTCTTCAGCAGCTGCTTCTCAACCAGGCTTCCTGTCAGGAGTTCCATCTTTCCCAAAAGGAATCCAGCCAAGCAGGACCCATCTTGGGGAATGACTTGGTCCCTCAGCCCTCTGACCTCAACCAGGTGGATCCCTTAACTGTCCAGAGCCCCTTGGAGAACCCTGACTGTCCATGATGGCCGGATCCTGTTCAGGGAATGACAGAGCCCCAAGGGTGGCAGCTGCTTAGCCGTGGTTCTCACGAAGGCTCCTGCCTTCTTTGGGGGGCTTCTGACTTTGCCCATAATCCACCTGTGAGCCCCCCTACCCCCTGTAAATTACAAAGCCACTTGTAAGCATTTTGTTAAGTGCGAATACCAACAAGAAGAGGACTCGGAAAACCGTCACTGAGAAGGGGAAGAGAAAGAGAAAAAACCAGATTGCACTACCCCTAAGTATGAAAAGCAGGGTTCATGTAAATGCCTACAAATGTAGCCGCACACTCATCCAAAATGGTTTCAAGTTGTGTTGCCTGTTTCTCCTATTAACAGCAGCCTTAATTTAGAGCTTTCATGCTGGCAAAAGGGACTATGAAATTTGACCAAAGGGAAAAGTGTCAGGTTGCTCCTGCACCCAAGGAAAAAGGGTCAAGCGGCATTTCCCTCCCCTGCTGACTTGAGCAGTGAATAATGAAGAAGGTTGTTCAATTTTTAACTAATGCAGGGCTGCGGCTAATAGCTAACCAACTCGCCCATTTTGTGGATGAGGAAACTGAGATTAAATGGCCCCTGAGGGGACACTGGGCATGGCCCCTGCCACATTCATCCAGCATCACAAAAGTTTTAACTATGCCACACAAATAACACCAGCCCACAAACCTAGAACCAAAAAGTGTGTTACTTGTATGTAACCTCCTCCATCATGAACTATTGCTAGGTAACAAACCACCCTCAAAATGTAGTGGCTTGCAACAAGAACAATTTATTATTTTCACAATTTTGTGGGTGGACTGGCAGCTCCTCTGCTGGGTGTGTGTGCCACTCGCTGACCTCAGCTGAAGGGTCAGCTGAGCCAGAAGGTCCAAGATATGGCCGCACTGATGTCTGGCAGGTGGTGCTGGCTTTCAGCGGGGAGACTGCTCATGGCCTCTCATCCTCCAATAGGTAGACTGCCTTCCTTACACAGCAGTCTCAGGACAGGGTTCTAGGACAGTGAAGACAGAAGCCGGGAGGTCTCTTGAATCTAAGCTTCAGGATTTACACATCACTTTGACTACATCCTATGGGTCAAGGCAAGCCAGGTGGCCAACCCATATCCAAAAGGGAGGGAAATAGACTCTACCTTTAGATGGGAAAAGCAGCAAAGAAATTGTGAGTGCATTTAATCTACACCTCCAGGACGTCCTATCCTTCTTCCCTGCTTTATCTTTCTCCCTCATACTTACCACTATCTGATATACTATATGTTTGCTTATTTATTTAAGAATAGAAGCTCCACAGGGCAGGGATCTGTGCTGCTTAGCCACTGCTATAGACTCAGGGCTGAGAACAGGGTCTCGTACATAGTAGGTTCTCAATGAGGATTCGTTGAAGGAATGAATGACTGGATGCTCTTACTGCCACATGACATAGAGGTGGGTATGGCCTGAAACTTGCCCACTAGGAGCTCTGTGTTCGGGAACCAGCCCTCGCCTTTTGGTCAAGTTTCAGAGTATCTTTGCCAATGCAAAAGGTCTATATTAAAAATGGCACACGTGNATTTGGGGTTTGAATCTTAATCAGAAATGTGCCGAAATGGCCAGGGTGTGGTTGTAAAGATCAGGCCTCCAAAATACCCCAAGTTGCATAAATCTAAGACAGTCACTCAACCCCTTACCCTATGCTTGGGACACAGAACTAAGTGGACCCCTTGGCCTCCAGGAGCTCCCAGGTGAGCCAGGCAGCAGCCTCCAGCCCAGGGGCAGAGGCAGCATTTCAGTGACACCCTAAAGGCGTTGAGCTAGAGAGGGGCGATGGCAGGGCCAGGGGTTGTGAGGGGGGTATTCCAGTCAGAGGAAACAGCTGGCAGCCTTATGAGTCTGAGGGCCCTGGGACTTGGGATATCAGTCTTGATTATAAATGCCTTTGGCCTATATTCTCAACCTTTACCAAAAACTTACCCACACCTGGAACCTTCCAGTTAAATCAGAATCTCTGGGGGTGGGGCCTGGGCATCTGCATAGTTCACACTCCTTAGGTGTGAGCTGAGCCGGGCCTCAGACTCATGTCCTGGCATCCGGGTGCTTAGGCTGGTCTTGGGGCCTCCTTGCCCAGGGTCTCCTGAGCTCTGTCCTCGGGCACTGGCTCACTGTGAGCCTGGGCATCTGGGCTGTGCCTGAACCCCGGCCCAGGCCGGCCTCTGACCGGTCTCTCCCATTCCCATCAGCTCATGGAGGCCCTCAAGGAGCAGGAGGAGATCAACTTCCGACTGCGGCAGTACATGGACAAGATCATTCTCGCCATCCTGGACCACAACCCCTCCATCCTGGAGATCAAACACTGAGACAAGGGGACTAGCTGCGGAGCAGCCTCGGGACCCCGGGACCAAGGGGAAGACCTCGTCTGGGGATGCAGCCCCAGCCGGGCCTCACACGCATACTGTAAATGGACCTCTGGCCGCCATGTAACAAATGGTGTGGACGTGGGGAGGCCGTGTGCACAGCACGGGGTGAGCGTGGGACCATGGCTGGGTGACATCTGCACGGTTAGCTGTCCATGCACTTTGTGGTCCCTTTGCTGAGGGCAGAGGGTCCTGAAGGTGGGAGGGGGCAAGATCTGCTATCAGGAGTTNCCACTGAACATGGCTGTGTTCTTCATACACAGTCCATTGGAGGGCGCAGCCATCAGTCCCGTGGCTTCTAGGATCTCAGTCCTGGGAACTCAGAGGTTTTCTTTCTCTACCCACACCTCTGCCTCCCTATTGTAGGTGAGCTTCCTAGAAAAAAAGGTGACAGAGCTGGAGAACGACAGCCTGACGAATGGGGACCTGAAGAGCAGGCTGAAGCAGGAGAACACCCAGCTGGTGCACAGGTCAGGGGCGGGGTCTGGGCTGTGGCTTGGGGGCGCATAGGGCCGTCCCCAAGAATAAGGCCCCCAGAGAAGCTGGGGAAAGGGACCTGCACGTCCTCCCAGCTCCGAGGGCCTGTGACACATCAGCCCCTCGCAGCATGGCTCTGCCCGTGCAGGGGACCCAGGAGGACAGGTCTTTGGGGATGAGGAGACAGGTGGGAGCCTGACCGTGACCCCGCAGGTCTGCAGCCCCACCAGGGCAGTTCTAAGGCAGAAGTTGGGATCTACTCTCATGTCTCTCTCTCTGCTACATTGAAGGGAGCCCGACCTTCCTTCCTGGGGAAAAGCTCTGCAGAGGGAGGGGCTGGTATGAGTCGGGGGCTCACGACTGCTGTCCCGCAGTGCTGCACCCTCCTCCCTATGGAAGCCCACTGAACATGGCGTCCCCTGATGCCAACTGCAGTAAGCTAGTGCATAGGGAGTTTAGTTGTCCTCACAGGATGGCCTGAAACTTGGTAAACTGATACCCACCCAGGGTCTGACCTCAGCACTGTAGGTCTCAAAGATGGGCCATACCCCGCAAAAGGGCATTCTCACGGAGGGACAGTGAAACGTGCCCCAGACCACATAGACCACCAGTAGTGGGATTCTAACATCCACAGTGGAGCCCAGCCCTTTTCCCAGGTGTGGCATGCTGAGGGCCACTAGCCAGGAGTCAAGGTGCCCCCCAGTAAGCTGAATGATCAAAGGGGTACTGGCCAGGAAGGGAGAGAGCAGAGAGGAGGTGAAACCTAAGGGCTGTTTCATGCAGCCGAAGTGAGGCTTGCTGTGCCTCCCTGTGCCTACCCTGGGAGATACCCCTTCTTGGGTGCAGCCTCACTCCCCTCTGGACCCACTGCCAGGGCTTCCCCTCTGTGGCATGGATGGCTTTCTTTAGGTGCCAAGGCATCTCTAACTCATATA